GATCCAACCTGGTGAGAACCCTCCATGAAACCCCCTGTTTGGTGGTGGGAACAAGTGGGTGGTGGGTTTATTCCCCCTGGGTTTGTCCATCCCTCTTGGCAGGGGATGTTTTAGCAGCAGCCAAAGCATCAGCTCTGAGCTCAGACGTGGGGGTTAATTTATGAAGTCAGAGCTGAGCTGGGCCAGTGGATTGAGGAGGTTGTGAGATGTCCCAAGGTGGTGGGAAAAATGATCTGGAGTTGCCCATTTAGGAGTTGTCCCCATGCTGGGGGAGGTGGCAGGTGGCCTGGGGACACTGTGGGGTCAGTCCTGAAATTGTCATTGTGATCCTCAAGGAGTTAGAAGGGTTGTTGGAGGCAGGTTTGAAAGCTGTGCTGGAGGTGGGGGGGTCCCTCCTGGTGTCCCCAGAGCTGGCCCTGGGATGGAGCTGGGGGACACTGGGTGGGATCACTGGGATGTTGGATTTGGGGGCAGGACCCTTGGCTGGAAAGCACCTGGAGATGTTGCTGTGGCTTTGTGGTTGGAGATGCCCTGGGAGGGGCATAGAGGGGCTGGCAGCCCCCCCTAAAGGGGCACTTGGGGTGCAGGGCTGCTCCTTGGGGTGGGAACTTTCCCTGCAGGGCAGAAAATGATTCCCCAGGGGTTTGTTTTAAGGAACTGAAGCGGATCTGGCTCTTTGGCTTTTGGAAGGGGGTGGTGGGAGGTGAAAAAGCTGCTTTTCTGGTGTCGTTTGACCATCCCTCCCCATCTCTGCTGCATCCCAGCACTGGGTCCTCCTCTTCCTCCTCCTCCTCTTCTTTCTCTTTCTCCTCCTCTTCCTCCTCTCTTCCTCCTCTTCCTCCTCCTTTTCCTCCTCCTCTTCCTCCTCTTTTCCTTCTCTTCCTCCTCCTCTTCCTCCTCTTCCTCCTCTTCCTCCTCTCTTCCTCCTCTCTTCCTCCTCTCTTCCTCCTCCTCTTTCTCCTCCTCTTCCTCCTCCTCTTCCTCCTCCTTTTCCTCCTCTTCCTCCTCCTCCTCCTCCCAGGACTTTGTTTCACTGTTGGTTTTAATGGAGTGATAAAAAACATGAAGCTTTCTCCTTAAAGAGGCCCTTGGGGGTGAAGGAGGCTGAGCTGGGCAGTGGCAGCAGAACTGGGGAAGTTTAAAAAATCCCAGTTTGGACCAATCTGCCCCCCTGGATCCAGGAGCTGGGGAGGGCAGAGGTGGTTGGAGGGGCAGAAGTGTCTGGGGGTGGTGCTGGTTTCCACGTGCAATGAGTGTTGATGATCTAAACACATCTCAGAGGCTTTTTTTTGGAGGGATCAGGCAGCTTTGCAGTGCTGGGCCAAACTGGGAAGGGGCAGCTGTCCTCTTCCTCCTCTTCCTCCTCTTCCTCCTCTTCCTCCTCTTCCTCCTCTTCCTCCTCTTCCTCCTCCTCCTCTTCCTCTTCCTCCTCTTCCTCCTCTTCCTCCTCCTCCTCTTCCTCTTCCTCCTCTTCCTCCTCTTCCTCCTCTTCCTCCTCTTCCTCCTCTTCCTCCTCTCTTCCTCCTCTCTTCCTCCTCTCTTCCTCCTCCTCTTTCTCCTCCTCTTCCTCCTCCTCTTCCTCCTCCTTTTCCTCCTCTTCCTCCTCCTCCTCCTCCCAGGACTTTGTTTCACTGTTGGTTTTAATGGAGTGATAAAAAACATGAAGCTTTCTCCTTAAAGAGGCCCTTGGGGGTGAAGGAGGCTGAGCTGGGCAGTGGCAGCAGAACTGGGGAAGTTTAAAAAATCCCAGTTTGGACCAATCTGCCCCCCTGGATCCAGGAGCTGGGGAGGGCAGAGGTGGTTGGAGGGGCAGAAGTGTCTGGAGCTGGTGCTGGTTTCCACGTGCAATGGGTGTTGATGATCTAAACACATCTCAGAGGCTTTTTTTTGGAGGGATCAGGCAGCTTTGCAGTGCTGGGCCAAACTGGGAAGGGGCAGCTGGCTTGTGTGTGAGCTCTTCCCAGGCTTTTCCAGCTGGGAATCAGCTCTGGAAGAGCAGCAACACTTTAGGGGGGAAAGAAATCCAAAAGCATTTAAGTGGCTTTGCAGAAAGAAGAGCTTGGGGGGGGGTTATTTTGGGGTTTTTGGGTTCTTTTTGCTTTCAAGTGGGCTTGGGCTGATGTGTGGGTCACCCAGGAGAGTGGCTGTGACCTGCCTGTAAGAAAGAAAGTGGGGAAAGTCCTGTTTTCCTGGGGTTTTTTTTGATCCTGAGGCACCCAGCAGCCCTGCAGTGGGTGGGTTTTGCTCTGGAGTGTTTCAGTTGGGTCCTGTCAGCACTGAGGGGACACAGGGGACACAGGGGACATCGTGGTGCTTGGGGGTGTGGGGAGGCTGCCTTGGCTCTTCTTGGGAGAGGATGGAGATGCTGGGAGGGCTGGAGCAGCTCTGGAGCCAGGCTGGGAGAGTTGGGGTGTTCAGCCTGGAGAAGAGAAGGCTCCAGGGAGACCTGAGAGCAGCTTCCAGTGCCTGAAGGGGCTCCAGGAAAGCTGGGGAGGGACTTTTTACAAAGGCAGGGAGTGAGAGGACAAGGGGGGATGATTTTAAGCTGGAAGAAGGAGATTTAGGTTGGATATTAGGAAGAAATTCTTTGCTGTGAGGGTGGTGAGACCCTGGCCCAGGTTGCCCAGGGAAGCTGTGGCTGCCCCATCCCTGGCAGTGTTGAAGGGCAGGTTGGATGGGGCTTGGAGCAACCTGGGCTGGTGGGAGGTGTCCCTGCCCATGCAGGGGGGTGGATGATCTTGAAGGTCCCTTCCAACCCAACCCAGTCTGTTGTTCTAGGATGTGATTCTATGATTCTTCATTAAGTGCTGCTAATTACAGCTGGGAGATGCTGTTGGCTGCAGCATCTGGGCAGCCCTGAGTGATGTAAATCTATGCATGCCCAGCAGCCAATGGGGGAGCCCCTTGATTTGCATACCTGCCTGCTGATCTGCACATCCTGGGGTTGCAGGTTAATTAACTGGAGGCCTTGATGGCTCGTGGGAGGATTTAATGAGTGGTGGTGTGTCCTCCCTCACCTGTGCCCACACACAGCCAGTGCCACCAGCCCTGGTGGCCTTGGGGACAGGGGACACAAGGAGAGGCTGCCTGGCCTTGGGTGGAGCACCCAGTTTTGGTGGCACCTGGCTGAAAAGGTGGCCTGGCTGGGGGTGACACAGAGCTGTGTGGGTGACACCCCCCAACCTGGCACCTGCCACGTCCCCACATGGGTTTGGATGGGCCTGGGGTGGCTTCAGAGAGACACCAGCACCTGAGCTGCTCCACCCAGGCAGAATCTTTCCCTCCAGCAGGTTTTTTTTGTCCTTAATTAAGGAAAACATGAGGAATTGCAGCTCCCCCTGATGAGCCTCTGGCAAGGTCGAAGGGCTTTTCTTGGAGAACCATCTGGATAGAACTTGTTTGATTTGGGTTTTTGATGTTCTGCTTTAGCAGAACCAGTCAAGAAACCTCCCCATCCCCCCCCCTAGAGACATATATATAATTACTATATTTTTCCCAACCCAGTCCTAAAGTTTTCTTTCCTCTCCTCCTTGAAGTTTTCTTCTGGAGCCTGAAATAAAAGGGTTCCCCTTGAAAGAGCTGGGGAGAGAAGAGGCAATTAATGGTGCAGAGGGGATGGGGGAGGTTGTTTTTAAACCTGACGCTGAGTTTCTGGTGGGTTTCTCTGTGGAGATGATCAAAAGGAGTTGGAAAAGGGGCCTGGAATTGGGTCTATGGCTCTGGGGCTCTGAAGTTGCTGCCAACAGCCCCTTTGCTCCTCGTGGGGATGGTTCATTAGGAGCAGAGAGGAGCCCTGCTTAATTACTGTCCCAGTAATGCACAACTGGGTGGCACTGGGGGTGGTTGCTGGGGGGAGGTGGGGAGGTCAGGTGAGGGCTGTTCCACCCATGTGCCATGTTCTGGGGGTGCTGGGAAGATGGGTGATGGTGGGGGACACACAGGGGGGGGCTGGGCAGGTGGGGGAAAGGTGGGCAAAGCCCCTTGTTTTGGGGGGGCCCTTTCCCCAAGCCCCCTTTTTGGGGGACCCTTCCCCAAGCCCCTTGTTTTGGGACCCTTCCCCAAGCCCCTTTTAGGTTCTTGCAGCACTTGTGTCATGGTTTTGGGTCCAACAGGACAACAATGACCCAGCCCTGGGGCCTCACTCAGCTCCCCCCTCACACACCCTGGGATGGGCAGGACAAACTCAAATAGAAGCTCCTGGGTTGAGACCAAGGACAAGGAGGGATCTTCACTGATTGAGGTCCTGGGCAAAACAGACTCAACTTGGGGATAAATGATACTTTAATCCCTTTGTTCCCGGTTTCTCTCCCTCCTTCCCCCAGTGGCACAGGGGATGGGGTTTAGAGTCAGTTCACAGGTTGGTGGTTCCTGCTGCTCCTTCCTCCTCAGGAAGAAGGATTCCTCACAGTCCTGCCCTGCTCCCCACGGGTCCCTCCCATGGCAGATCCTCCACC